TTAATTTTTAGAAGATCCCAGTTGTCTAGCTTATCTTCTGGAGTTTGTGTGTTGTTGGTTATGGTTTGTATCCTGTTAATGCTGTGTATTAGGGCCTCTAGTGTTTATCCTATTTTTAATTCTATGAACTTTACAGTTTTTGGCTTTATATTTAGGTCTTTGATCCATTTTCAATTAGTTTTTGTATATGGTGTGAGGTATGGGTTCTGTTTCATATCTTTGCAGGTGGATATCCAGTTTTGCCAGTACCATTTGTTAAAAAGACTGTCTGTTCCCCATTTGATGGTCTTTGGGCCCTTGTCGAAGATCAGGTGACTATAGGTGGATGAATTTATATCTGAGTTCTCAGTCCTGTTCCACTGGTCAATGCATCTGTCGTTGTACCAGTACTAGGCTGCTTTGACTACTATAGCTGTATAGTAGGTTCTGAGGTCAAGTAGTGAGAGTCCTCCTACTTTATTCTTCTTCTTCAGTAGTGCTTTACTTATCTTGGGCTTCTTCCTTTTCCATATAAAGTTAATAATTAGTTTTTCCATGTCTTTAAAGAATATTGTTGGTATTTGGATCAGGATTGCATTGTATTTGTAAATTGCTTTGGGTAAAATTCTCATTTTCACAATGTTGAGTCTACCTATCCATGAGCATGGTATGTTTTTCCACTTATATATATATATCTTTTGGTTCATTGCAGTAGTGTTTTGTAGTTTTCTTTGTATAGGTCTTTAACATCCCTGGTTAGATTTATTCCTAAGAATTTTATTTTTCTTAGGAGTTATTATAAATGCTATTGTTTTCCTGATTTCCTTTTCATCATTCTCTTTATTGGTGTACAGGAATCAAACCGATTTTTGTATGTTTATCTTGTATCCTGCTATTCTGCTGAATCTTTCTATTAGCTCCAATAGTTTTTGTGTGGAGTCTTTCAGGTTTTCTATGTATAGTATCATATCATTCGCAAATAGGGACAGTTTATCTTCTTCATTACCAATTTGGATTTCCTTTATTTCTTTTTCTTGCCTTATTGTTCTAGCTAGGACTTCCAGCACAATGTTATATAGGAGTGGTGATAAAGGGCATCCTTGTCTTGTTCCTGTTCTTAGGGGGAATGCCTTCAGCCTCTCTCCACTGAGAATGATATTGGCTGTTGGGTTTATATAGATGCCCTTTATTATGCTGAGAAAATTCCATTTTATACCTATTTCATTGAGAGTTTTTATCAGGAATGGGTGTTGGACTTTATCAAATGCCTTTTCTGCGTCAATTGAGATGATCATGTGATTCTTTCTCTTTTTTATGTAGTGGATTACACTGACTGATTTTCTAAGGTTGAATCATCCTTGCATACTTGGTATGAATCCTGCTTGGTTGTGGTGTATTATTTTTTTGATATGATGCTAAATTCTATTGGCTAGAATTTTGTTAAGAATTTTTGCATCTATATTCATGAGAGATATTGGTCTATAATTTTCTTTTTTTGTGGTATCTTTGCCTGGTTTTGTGACCAGGGTTATGCTGGCTTCATAGAATGAATTCAGAAGTGTTGCCTCCTTTTCTGTGTTCTGAAATAGTTTGAGTAGTACTGGTATAAGCTCTTCTCTGAATGTTTGGTAGAATTCTCCAGTGAAGCCATCTGGGCCAGGGATTTTTTTTTTTTTTTTTTTGGCAATATTTTATTACCTTTTCAATCTCTTCTCTTGTTATAGGTCTGTTTTATATTTTCAGCATCACTCTGCGTTAGTTTTGGTAGGTAGTGTGTTCCTAGAAATTTATCCATTTCCTCTAGGTTTTCAAATTTGTTGGAGTATAGTTTATCATAATATTCTGTTATAAACCTTTTTATTTCAGTTGGGTCTGTTGTAATGTCCCCCATTTCATTCCTTATTTGGGTTATTTGCGTCCTCTCCTGTTTTTCTTTTGTCAGTTTGGCCAGTGGTTTGTCAATTTTGTTGACTTTTTCAAAGAACCAACTTTTGGTTTTGTTGATTCTTTCTATTGCTTTTCTATTCTCTATTTCATTTATTTCTGCTCTGATCTTTATTATTTTCTTTCTATTGTTCACTGTGGGATTTTTTTTCTGTTCTCTTTCTATTTGTTCGAGTTGTGTAGTTAATGTTTTGATTTTGTCCCTTTCTTCTTGCTATAATTTGTCCTCTGAGGAGTGCCTTTGCTGTGTCCCAAAGGTTTTATTATGTGTTTTCATTCTC